CCGCTTAATCGATTTCTCTTTTCATTCTGATCATTTATGTATACATTTGTCTATATCTATCTCGATTCGTTTTGCCTGTTACAAACAACCGTTATGTGAACAAAGTTATGATACCCTTGTGCACAAGTGGGCTCGGGTATAAAAATCAGTCACCGACTTTTGTATTTTAAATCATACGTATAAAAGTCATTAGCATTTTTCGAAGTAACAGTTATCTAAGCTATATAATGTAAAAATCAAAAATAACTGTTATTCGCAGATTATTTAGATAAAAATAAAAAATAATTGTTATTTTGGATTCATAAAATAAAAATCAGAAAAAACTGTTATTTAACGAGTAATTAATTGAAAGTAAAAAAATAATTGTTAAATAGGGACTTTTTTAACAAAAGTTATAACTGTTACGGTCCCTGATTTCAAGTACTATCTAAGCGTGTTGGTGTTGGTTGATTTAAGCATTGTATTGAAAAGCAAGTTTGCAAAAATGTTTTATTTTTTTTCTTCCCTTGGTCCTCTTTTAATAGCATAAAGGTAAAATTATTTTCGGTATTTATCTGCCTCTATGAGTAGAAACGCCTTGTTTTTTTATGTTAATTGTTTATTTAATGTTTAGTATTTTTTATAAAAGTCTAACTCATTATATAACAAACTGCATATAAGTACACATTTCAAGCCTTCTAAGAAACATGAAAAATTGGAAAATGTAACAAACTCACCTAAATTTCAAACTTTTTATTCCGAATTCTTAGAAAAAAAAAACATTTTTTTGCAGTTTTAGGGCCTAATAAATTTTAGTAGATAAAGTGCATGTTTCAAGTGGCTAGAAAATCGCGTTGATATTTCGACACCTGCGCCACCTAGCGGATTAAATTATCTTTCATATTGCATGTTCATGGGACTCTGAGCTAAGTGTGAAGCTGTTGGAGGCGACCGCTGTTAGAAAAAAGTTTTCTTATTTAGATATTGCTCTAACCAGGGATCGAACCGAGGTCCTACGGAGTGGTAATACGCACCTTTAACCACTCAGACACAGCGGCTTCTCAAATACAAAACCGGGCCGACTTCATCTTATTGAAATTTGCCGCTTATTTGAAGTGCATGTACAACATTTTTCTAGCACGTCCAGTTTTTGAGAAAACTGATGTCTAGATTTCTGATGCTATCTCTTAAGACTCAGGTATGCGGCCGATAGAAATATTTCGCTGGGATTACTATCCGATTTTTATGTTGCGTCGTTATTTTTTCACTTTAGTATGTGCTTATTATTACTTGAGGAAACTCTTCATAACCAATTTNGCTCTTAAGACTCAGGTATGCGGCCGATAGAAATATTTCGCTGGGATTACTATCCGATTTTTATGTTGCGTCGTTATTTTTTTACTTTAGTATGTGCTTATTATTACTTGAGGAAACTCTTCATAACCAATTTAATTTCCGCGCACCTACTCATTTCACAAACTTAAAAAAATATATATTTTATATGCCTTAATTTTCTTATGGTCAACACCTTCTTTCCTTCCACAGATGGACTTGGCGACCGTACCACCGGAGCTTGAAGAGCTCCTCATCTGCAGCTGCTGCCATCTGCCCTTCAACGATAACGATGCCCTGCCCAAGCTGTTCACGTGTCGCCACTACTTCTGCCTCAAATGTGTCAATTCATTGCTGCGCGAAGGTAGCGATGAACTCTATTGCGTACACTGTTGGAAACGCACCGAACTGCAAGGACCCGAGCCACGCACCGATAGTCTCCCCACCTACAATGCGATTTTGTATCTCACCCAAAATTTGACTTCGCTCTGCTTGAAAATGAAAGCCGGCGAACGTGACCGCCAGCAACGTTCCTCGTCGATTGCTTCGAATGGTTCAACTGGTGCGCTCAGCGGGAGTGGCGCACTAAATAGTAACACTAACAACAACGACGGCAGTAATGGCAATCTGAGTAGTATTGGTGTTGCCAGCAACAATAATGTAGACAAATTGAAAATGACCGAAAATTGCATGACACATGCCATGCCGAATACATTGTGGTGCAGTGTTTGTAATATTTTGCTTTGTCGCGCCTGTGCCGCCACCGAAGAGCATCGTTCGCATTTGGTCAAGAATAAAATCGAAGCTAAAGAATCACTACATACCGACATATCAAACGAACTGCTCGGCATGCAGAAGACGCTCAACGATGTGCAACATCTGGTATTGAAGCAACGCGATTTTCTGCTCAAAATATTAGAGAGTTGCACTACGCTCAAGACGCAAATTGAATCGGAGTTAATTAATCACATACCCACCCTAGAAATTGCGGAAATACGTGAAAATTTATGCAAGGCTCGAATATGCCTCGAAATGCTGGACAAGCAAACGCCCGCCGAGGCAATGAAACTCTACACGACGCTGCACGGCGAGAAGCAGCGCCTCATGGCCAAGTATCAAGAAATGTTCCTACAATGCAAGCTCGACGATATGATACGCAATTGCGGTTATGTTTTCGATTTTGATCTGATCAAACAGGCGCTCGTGCAAATGCATAATTGTGTGCTCAACGGCGGCAATTTGGATAATTTTGGTGTGGGTTCAGTGATTGGCGGTTTGAATGGCATTACTGGTAGCCATCAGAATCCTATTTTACTCTTGGCCAACTACTGCATTTCTCAATTGTACTCGCGACACATGTTGCTGCTCAAGCAGCAACAGCAACAACAACAGCATGCACAACACCAACAACAACAACAGCAACAGCAGCACCAGCAGCAACAGCAACAGCAAAATTTGCTTACCAACGGCCTGCTCACGTCCATGATATCGCAAGTAAGCCTCGCCACGTCTATCAATGGCAATCTAACCAGCTCGAATGCCAATTTTACACACGCCACATACGCACAGGCGCTGCAACAGAATCAACCGTCGAGCAACAGTGCAGCGCAGCAACAGCAGCAAGCCAACAATCCGTCGTCGCCCGTACACAAGACATACGCCGACATCATTGCACTCTCCAACAAATCCACTTCGAGCTTGCACTCTGCTGCCCAGCAGCAGCAGCAGCAGCAACAATTGCTGCAACAACAACAACAATCAACGGGCAGTAACTACACAGAAATCGCTCCAATCGGCACACCGGCCACAACCACAGCCACATCGGTAGTTGTTGGCGCACAGCGTAGCAGCACCGCTTCACATCTCTTTTCCAGCAATGACCTCAACGGATTAGGTTTAAGCCTCTTGCATTTGCAGCAACAANGCAACAATTGCTGCAACAACAACAACAACAATCAACGGGCAGTAACTACACAGAAATCGCTCCAATCGGCACACCGGCCACAACCACAGCCACATCGGTAGTTGTTGGCGCACAGCGTAGCAGCACCGCTTCACATCTCTTTTCCAGCAATGACCTCAACGGATTAGGTTTAAGCCTCTTGCATTTGCAGCAACAACAAACTGCTTCCAATTCGCAGCAACAACAAACGAAATCAACATTGTTACTCAATCCCAGCGTACACGTCTACCCGATTTACTATTTTAATATCGAAATTAACGGGCAACATTCGGGACGCATACTCATAGAGGTGCGCAGCGATGTAGCGCCAAAAATGGCTAAGAATTTCAATGCACTCGCCACGCAAGAGCTCGGCTATGGCTATAAGGGTTGTCACATATTTCAATGCTGGGAAAATGAAAGTATTATTACCGGTGATTTTGAATTGAACAATGGGCGTGGCGGACGTTCGGTATACGATGAGGGCTTCTTCATGCCAGACGATACCAAAATACTAGCCATACGCGGTTCGGTTGGCATGCGACGCAGTCAAAAGCGTCATGATAATCTAGGACTTGTAGGTTCACAGTTCCGTATAATTTTAAGAGAGATGCGTGGTTTTACGGGCATTTTCGCTTTTGTGGTGGAGGGTTTGGATTTGGTGGAGAAGATATCACAAACGGGTGATGCGACTGGCAAGCCGCAGAGTAGTGTCGTTATTGTTAGTTGCGGCAAGTATCAGTTGGGTTAGGCGTATAGCTTTTAAGAAATTCGATAGCAGAATAAGCCGAAAAGTATACAATTTTGGTAAGCGAACGTTTGCGATTTTTTTTTTATTTATGAAAGTATAAGGTTTTAATACGAGTTTTAGTTTAGAACGATAAAAGGACGGTGTTTGCATATTTCAGAAACACGAAGTTATTGCAGGGAGTGTGTGCATGTATAAGCTGAGCGCCATATTATTACAGCGAAATATTGATATATTTTCTTTCATAAGCAATCGCATACAGTGGGTGCCATCAGAACATTGGATCTCAAGCATAAATAAAAAGTGAGCTTTTCGCAATAAAGGCTGTACCGAACGGCACTTTTTTTTTGCACAGCTGAAGCGCAGATATTTAGAGGCGGAGTTGTTCAGTCAGTCAGCTAAGCGTTCGCGTGGACAACGTGAATTTTTTTCTTTTTACATCTTTTATGTTCGAAGTCGTTTTCTGCTTTTGTGTTATTGAACCGAATTTTATCCAACAAAAATAAAATTTTGTTAAATTTCTGTTGTTCGCCTTTTTTATTTTTGGTCGTTGAATACTTTTGTGCCACCACTTTGAGAACATTTGAGGAATTCAGACTTAAATTATGAAAGTAGCAACTTCACGAGTTATATTCACAAAATTACGGTCAATGGAGATAATTTGCAAACGAAAGTAGTTTGAGAGAAGCTAGCACAGAAGATGTTGAGGCTTTAGGATTAGTTATACCTCCCATCACAGCGGTAAATGGAGTGTCCATTGTAAGAGAGCTTGCGCAATTCGAAATGAAGAATAATCTTCCTGTTAGATTTTTTTTTCTAATATTGCTAAGGCAAATGTTTATCGAAATCGTTAGACGGCTCGAAAATAAAACTATGAATCACATTTTTCTTGTATTACCGTTTTTTTGTTTTAAGGATATGATTACGAAATATTGTTGCATGAAAACTCAAAACAGGAACAATAAGAAAAAAATATATATAAACTATATATAACTACAAACATACAAAGTTTCATTTAAGACTATTTTGAAAACAAAAACAACCGAAATGACTTAAATAATTTGTCACCGAAACAAACATACAAGAACAAAGTGAAAACATCTAGGGAATTTCTACTCATGGAGTAGTAAGCGTCATTTTAGCACTTTTGTAGAGCGATGAACAAAAAACCAAAAACAACTATACGATGAATAGTTAAAATACGGAAATACTACGAAAATCTTCTACAACTACTTACATGCATATTAGGGCGGTGCTTAAAAAAATCAACATAATGGCGCAGCACTTTGAACATATATAAGAAAATTGCAAAATTTAAAAAAATTAGGGCACACTACCCGGGTTTGCAAAATTGAAATTTTTTTAAATCGAAAAATTCGGCAGCGATATTTTGAATTTGTATGATTAAATTTGAATACGCTGAGCTATAGTTGGTCAAATTGCAAGTTTTGTCAAATTTTTGCGTGTAGGAAAAATTAAAAATTTTTTAAAATAAATTTTTTTTTAATTTTGAAATTTTCATTTTATTTTGTACAAAGAATAAAATAAAGCTGTGCCCGAAACAAAATTTAGAGGTTGATATTTTTAAGGACCACCCTAATGCATATACATACATACATACATACTTTAAGGTTGAAGGTAAGCCGATTAACGAAACCAAAAAGTATAAAATATATACATACATACAGAAG